CAATTTGGCGATATTTGTAATGTAAGATATGATTATATTGTTGAATAAATTTCAGATTCATCACATTGTAGACTTCATAATATGGTACATATTCCAGGGGGAAGAAGAGGTCCCAGGAGTCAAAGGCCGAAGGCTTGAAAGCCCAACGTCCACCGGGTGCATGGCTATTTTTCTAGTATGAATACTTTGTTTAGTGTAGTGTGAAATTATTTTGTGGTTAATGTTAATGTGATAATGTGCCAATTTGTTGTACTTGCATTACAGTAAGGAGAAAATGGAGAATATCAAAGGAAACGCTGGTAAAAAAGTAACACGCGAGGTATAATTTGTGTTACAAATAGCTAGTATTGTTTGGAATAGTAAAATTAATAATGTCTTCCAATTGAACTTGTACTCATAAGGTAATTAAACAAGTGGTTGACTAATGGAGGAAGATGGCAGATAGTGAGAAACATAAATACAGAGAAATGTCTAAACATGCAAAGAGTGAATATGATCGTGTGAAAGATAATTCTGGGGAAATGACAGTCCGGGTAAAAATATAATGTTGATGTTACTTTTTATGTGCATGGTTTACATTTACTGCACCTCTACAACTAAGATTTCTGTCTATGTTTTGACGAATTATCAAAGGGGACGCTTGGTACAAGGTGTTCGCCTGGGAAAATTGTAAAAATGATACGAAATTTTGGTGATGAGCAGAAAGCTGCAATAAAAGAACTTGGTTTTGAGGGGATATTGAGCCTCAGATATGGTGAACTGAAGCGGGGTTTATATGCATGGTTGATTGAACGGTTCGACACTGTGTCATTGACATTAAATGTCTACAGTGAAGCTATTCAGTTATCAGCCATGGATGTAGAATGTGTCATGGGCTTGAGAAATGAAGGGTTGGATGTGGAGACTAGTGGGCCCAATGAAAGAATTAATGGCATTTGGAATTCATTGTTCAATGGAGTTAAGGATATCCTGTTGAGACAAGTGAATGAGAGACATTGTGCACTTACAGTGGCTTCGAATGAGTTTAGGATATATTTTGTGCTATTTCTTATTGGACATCTTCTATACCCAACCATGCATACTTCAATCAGTAGCAGGTATCTTCACACTGTCGTAGACGTTCCTTGTATAGGGAAGAGAAATTGGGCGAAATTTGTATTTAATGGTATGGTTGAAGGGGTACGAAAATATCAAACACATGTTTAGAAAAATGTTAGTGGATGTTTACTTGTTCTTATGGTAAGGCATGAATTTATTTTTTTAGTGTTTTTATGTTGTGCTTCTTTCACAACACTTTTACTGAAATACCTATTTTAATTATTTAATGTAGATAGTATATCTAGAGCGGGTCACACCCAAAGGAGTGTTTGTTAAATAACTGCCTTGTAGGAGCAACCCTCGAATTGCTGCGTGGGGGGATGAGAAAATTAAGAAACATGTAAGCATGTTGAATAAGTCCAAACGACTAGGGTGTCAAGAAGTTACTTGCAAATTGTTTGACGACACCATAAATAGACCCCCACCAGTTGATATAGTACACAATAGTAAACGATCCACCAATGAAGTGAAGCAAACTAGTTTGACATCAGATGAAAAACCACCGGTACGTATATACCATGATACTGATATCACATTGATGTATAATTGTTTTTGCCACGTTATGAATTTGTCTAAATGTGCAGGAATGGGAGGCCAGAATGTGTAGGATGGAGAATGCGATTGTTAATATAATTGGCATGGTGGGCTCAATGGTTAGCATGATGCAAATGTTCATGGGTGGATCATTTCCTAAAACATCAAATTACCAAGAGATGGACAATGATGCTGCTGTTGGAGTAGTTGTTGAGGAAAAAAATAAAATTGACTTGAATGAAAATGTAAATGCCAACTCCCGTGATGAAGTGGATGTGGACTACCGGATTTGGACACCCATTGCCGCTGTCCGCACCCCACCACCAAAACCATTCCAAGAGGCATGGCGACGTCCATTGAATACTAGCAATGACGAATGTAAACATAATAACGTTGGTGACATGCAAGAGGCTTCTTACTCATGCACTCAAACATCATTCCCACCAATGCAGCTAAGAAGAGATTCTAAAAGGAGGCCAAGCAAATATGTGATTTCACCATATGAACAGCCAAAGGTATAACATACATCAAACTTAATGTATTAATTACATTATAAATTATCGTCACTTATACTTTACTCCCATCAACTACAGCATCGTTGGGTGAAGAAGGATGATAAGAAAGAGGGCAAGAGGGAGGTGAATAATCCCACGGATCACATTCAACCAAGCTTGGACAATTCCATGTATATAGTGGTAATGCATAAGGTTATGACACCGTTTATTATTATCCAATTTTTTATATAGTCATATGTTCAATTTCTCTGTGCACAAGGCGGTTATGACATGAATTGTTATGACAACAAGGCATCGATCGATGTGTACAAGACTCCGCCCAATCCTGGTAACAAACTGAAATTGTCTTGTAATAGTGCCTCAGTTGCTGAAATTCTTAAGGTCTAATTTTTTCCATTGTTGATTATGTGACAAACTTGAATGGTAGTTTAATGTCACACATTTCATACACAGATTTCAGATTCTACTTTGGGTATTCCAAAGCACGTTGAGGAATATGAAAATGCAGACATACTTTATCCTGAAGATAAAAAATTGATTTTGAATTACATATTTGTCNATGTTTGTTGTCAAGATGATCCTGTCTTCGGTGCTTTCTCCATGCTTTAGTATTACGGTGAACTCTATACCATGCAACCTACGACATGTCGCGATTGTTTGATTTGATAGTTTGTTAATATCCCTTGTTTTCATTTGATCGCAGGAAGATTCTAATGAAATGAGGATGAACTTTGCATATTCATTAGCTACTCATGCTGACAATAAAGTTCGGANTTTTTTTTTTAAAACAGAGAGGTTTTAATTAGGTTTGAACATGACCATGCTGGACGTCATTCCCTCATGACATTATTACCAAAGCAGTGGTTACTTGATTCGGTTGATAAATTTGGTGTTTTTCAACCAATATGTTTTTTCTTTTTTTAATTACAATAACATAAACCAATTGAATTTTACTTTGGTATTTTCCTATGACCGTAATAGGTTGTGGACTTGGCCCATAATTTGTTAGCTAAGGAATATAAGATCAATCCAAAAACCGGATTAGAGAGGTGGTACCTACCCACGTGGTTCTCGGTAATAAAAATATGTTTATCTGTAGAACCTTATTTTAATTTAAAAAAAATTACATACAATTTGTTGATTATAATTTTGTTTGTTGTGTTCAGCAACAGGCACTATGTCGGGCTGTGGGTAACAGTGAAATGAAAAAAACATTGTTGCATTCTATGTGTGCTGTGAGTGGGAAGTACATAAAAGATTTTACATACTGTNATAAATTAAAAAGTTATGTATGACATAATTTTTAAATTAACATGTTATGAACATAATAATACAATGATTATAATATACTGCACATCTTTGAACATCAGACAAAATTTGCTANCTCTATACCATGCAACCTACGACATGTCGCGATTGTTTGATTTGATAGTTTGTTAAAATCCCTTGTTTTCATTTGATCGCAGGAAGATTCTAATGAAATGAGGATGAACTTTGCATATTCATTAGCTACTAANATATACTGCACATCTTTGAACATCAGACAAAATTTGCTATCTGCCCAAGATGTTCTAATTTTGACATAATAGTTGTAAAAAAAAAATTGTTTTTAAGTAGGTAATATAATTTTTGTGTAATAAATGGCATTTAATTGGGAAGTAAATGTAAAACCATTGTTCCAACTACTATGATTTTCTTAACACAATAACAAACTGAAGTCAATCACCAATTATAGCATGTGTTTCTTCATCGCTCTTAAAATCTTCNAATGCTGACAATAAAGTTCGGAACAAAATCATAAACAAGGCCCGAGAACGACGGATAGAAACAGGGAAATGTAGAAGTATGTTACAATGAATGTGAGAATGTAGGTTGTATGTATGTTGTGGAATAGAAAGATACACTGTGAATGGAGTGTGAGTAGGTATGCGTTATGTATTTATAGGAATACAATGTTGCCTGAGAGGCAGAATGTGCTTTGTTAGGCAGGATTTATATATTGGATTACAATCAAATTACTTGAGAGCTGGAATGTGCGTTGTAAGGCAGGATGTATTTATTGGAATACAATCTTGATTGGTGAATGAATTTGCTTATGTAGGCGGTATTTACATATTGGAAAAAAATGTGGACATGTGAGTGGAATGTACACTGTTTCATGAACATACACATAGCAATGAGTTTAATCAAGCCATCACCACACCAAACATTCTGGTCAACCCAAAAACAAGAACCGGGCATTGCATTGAGTTCCAGAATATCAGCAGCCATGTGTGGCGCATGAATTTTGTCATATTGATTTAGCTTACCATTTTCATAATACACCATCTATAAATATGTCCAACCCACCTGAATGAAGCCTCCCTTATTCTATCTGTTATAAAGCATTCAGAGTTTAGAAAGAAAAATCATATCCAAATATGAACCAACTCCCACCCTTCCTCTTGCTGGGAGTACCAGAAGGGTGTAACAAACGAAAAAGAAATGGTCTTGTTTAAAAAAAAAATTAAAACAATTAAATTGTTTTTTTGGTAAAAAAAAAAGAAATAATTTTATTGAATAAACTCCAAAATTACAAGAATAAAATAACCAGTAACTGTTACAACAGAAATCAGTTACAGTTGCACCAAAACAATCAAACTGTTACAATTACAACAGTTAAAACAATTCTTGTACAGTTGATGCACTCCAGGTCATCAGCATACCGGCACCCTCCTTCTGTACACCATACCTTGATGGAGCTTCTGATGCAGAAACATACTGCCAGTACTAGAATCCATAAACCAACACTCCAAAACCCCTCCATAGATCAACTCCTACCTGACTCAGTAGAGGATGTTAGCCCATAATAACCTCAGGGCAAAAGCACTTCCACAATCAAGACCTCTAACCAGCTGCTGAATCCACAGGAAAAAATTTGCTGGCCATTTAACAGAAATCTCCATGTTCTTATAGTAGGCCTGAGTTGTTTGTTGTTGCAAAAGCATTCTTGCAGCCAATGACAGAATACCATCAGCTAGAAAAACACCTTCAAAGAAACCAGACTTAACTGCCAAAGAAGGCAAAAAAATCAGCTACACCATTACCCTCCCTGTACACATGTCTACACTGAAATTGCAAATTACTAAGAAACTCCCCAATCTCATCCTGTAAACTCTCATATGTTTATATTAATATAATGATATAATTGTTTAGTAATTCCAATATATGTAATGATGTAAGATTGAACCACATAGATTATAATGGTAGAAATAACTATTGGGAGGCAAATTGATTGTGAAGTTTAAGTTGCGAATGTATTTAAGCTTGGAAGAGGTTGTTAGGTAAGTTCAAAATATTTTTAGGTCAAAATAAGATTTCCATTGAATCCGGAAGGTTGAGAAACCTTGGAAGAGGTAATATGGGGTATATTAGAAGTGAGGAAGTATTTCGGAGTTAAAGCACACTTTAGAGAGAATTTGGGTAAAAAGGGTTTTTGGACACTGTCTAATGTTTTGATCATACATTTTTATTTTGAATTCCATTTGATCTGAAATTTTGATGGTGGATGGTAGACTTCAAAAGCTACAAAAGTGTATTTTACGAAAATTTTCCAATTCGACCTCTAAATGGGCCAAAACTGCATTGGAAGTTGGAGCAAAAAATCTGTCAGTCAAACCGTACCGGTACGCCCAACTCCAGAGGCTAAATAGTACTGGTACTGAGTACTGGTACACTTTATTTAAAGCTTGCCGAACAGTAAAAAAATTAGGATTTTTATGTTTTAAAACACCATTCTAAGCCCCATTTGTCCCATTCTTTCATTCCACTCTCACCCCACACCTCTTAGAACCCTAGGAAAAGATAAAGAGAGAAAGAAAAGGGAGGAAGAAGGTCTTCAAAACTTGAGCTTTTGATTTGAAATTCTTGATTACAAGGTAGAGGTTTCTTCTCATTCTCTTACATTGAGGCTAGAGTTTACTTTTATGTATTATTTTGACTCTAAATCTTATTTATTTGTTAGTAAATTATTCATTCTTGATATTCTTGCAAACACTATCATGTTTTAAACAAATCTATGGTGGGATAACCATGAAATATCTTTTCTTGACTCAAAAACTTAGTTTTCAAGATAAATGAGTTTTTTTCTTGATTTTTCCTTTATTCTTGATTTTGAAATTCTAGTGCTTTGTGTTGAGTAATAAAATGATGTTGTGATGATCTCTTGCTTATTTTCTAAAATTGTTCTCTTGTATTACAAATTGTGAGAATTGGGAATTTTGGAAATTATGAACTTTTGTTGAGAAATTGTTGGTGATTGTATCTCATGGAAGTGTTTGGATGACCATGGGTGGCCGTTGACCGGGTATCGAAGAGTGGGTAGATGTGGTGGTTCTTACTCCGGGCGGGTTTAAACTTTTCCTACCACTCGTAGAGGAGTTGGTGCCTTGCGAGGACCAAATCACTATTAGGTCACAGGTGCCGTGTCAGAGGATTAGTATACTATGCCTGGGTTGGATTCGTTATTGCTGGTGCATTGGTATGAGACAATACATTGGTAGGCGCCCTTCCTAAAGTTTGATATCCTTGCAGGGATTTGTGTGTGTGTGGGCCAGGATATTCTCTATGTGTTGATTCATGTGATAGCCATACATCATGCTTGAGATACATATACATACTGTTAGAAAGGATCCAAGTTGTGGATTATTGTTATTGCTTGGACTTGGTTTCCTACAAGAGCTTGTGGAGGTATGCGATTCTACAAGAACTTGTGAAAACGGATTATGGTTGGAAAGGGTTAATTGCTGGGAAATTTATTTTACTATTCATGTAATTATTGCTATTGGATGAACATGAGATCTNTGGATTATTGTTATTGCTTGGACTTGGTTTCCTACAAGAGCTTGTGGAGGTATGCGATTCTACAAGAACTTGTGAAAACGGATTATGGTTGGAAAGGGTTTATTGCTGGGAAATTTATTTTACTATTCATGTAATTATTGCTATTGGATGAACATGAGATATGTTTTAAATGTCCTTGTTTGTTCAAAAATTTATATATGATATTTGTGAAAGGCGACCGACTATTTTTATATGCTTTTATAAATCTTGTTCGAGTTTGAGAGGAATATTGCTACAGAGCTTAGTACTCACTCCCTAAAAATTATATTTTTCAGATTGTGGACTAGAGGAAGAACTCGGGATTGAGGAACCGACACATTTGGAAGCTCCACTAGATGGGTTCGTGGATCCCAAGGTGGATATCTAGAGCTATAGTTTATTTTTTTGCTAGACTTGNGTCCAACCCACCTGAATGAAGCCTCCCTTATTCTATCTGTTATAAAGCATTCAGAGTTTAGAAAGAAAAATCATATCCAAATATGAACCAACTCCCACCCTTCCTCTTGCTGGGAGTACCAGAAGGGTGTAACAAACGAAAAAGAAATGGTCTTGTTTTAAAAAAAAAAATTAAAACAATTAAATTGTTTTTTTGGTAAAAAAAAAAGAAATAATTTTATTGAATAAACTCCAAAATTACAAGAATAAAATAACCAGTAACTGTTACAACAGAAATCAGTTACAGTTGCACCAAAACAATCAAACTGTTACAATTACAACAGTTAAAACAATTCTTGTACAGTTGATGCACTCCAGGTCATCAGCATACCGGCACCCTCCTTCTGTACACCATACCTTGATGGAGCTTCTGATGCAGAAACATACTGCCAGTACTAGAATCCATAAACCAACACTCCAAAACCCCTCCATAGATCAACTCCTACCTGACTCAGTAGAGGATGTTAGCCCATAATAACCTCAGGGCAAAAGCACTTCCACAATCAAGACCTCTAACCAGCTGCTGAATCCACAGGAAAAAATTTGCTGGCCATTTAACAGAAATCTCCATGTTCTTATAGTAGGCCTGAGTTGTTTGTTGTTGCAAAAGCATTCTTGCAGCCAATGACAGAATACCATCAGCTAGAAAAACACCTTCAAAGAAACCAGACTTAACTGCCAAAGAAGGCAAAAAAATCAGCTACACCATTACCCTCCCTGTACACATGTCTACACTGAAATTGCAAATTACTAAGAAACTCCCCAATCTCATCCTGTAAACTCTCATATGTTTATATTAATATAATGATATAATTGTTTAGTAATTCCAATATATGTAATGATGTAAGATTGAACCACATAGATTATAATGGTAGAAATAACTATTGGGAGGCAAATTGATTGTGAAGTTTAAGTTGCGAATGTATTTAAGCTTGGAAGAGGTTGTTAGGTAAGTTCAAAATATTTTTAGGTCAAAATAAGATTTCCATTGAATCCGGAAGGTTGAGAAACCTTGGAAGAGGTAATATGGGGTATATTAGAAGTGAGGAAGTATTTCGAAGTTAAAGCACACTTTAGAGAGAATTTGGGTAAAAAGGGTTTTGGACACTGTCTAATGTTTTGATCATACATTTTTATTTTGAATTCCATTTGATCTGAAATTTTGATGGTGGATGGTAGACTTCAAAAGCTACAAAAGTGTATTTTACGAAAATTTTCCAATTCGACCTCTAAATGGGCCAAAACTGCATTGGAAGTTGGAGCAAAAAATCTGTCAGTCAAACCGTACCGGTACGCCCAACTCCAGAGGCTAAATAGTACTGGTACTGAGTACTGGTACACTTTATTTAAAGCTTGCCGAACAGTAAAAAAATTAGGATTTTTATGTTTTAAAACACCATTCTAAGCCCCATTTGTCCCATTCTTTCATTCCACTCTCACCCCACACCTCTTAAAACCCTAGGAAAAGATAAAGAGAGAAAGAAAAGGGAGGAAGAAGGTCTTCAAAACTTGAGCTTTTGATTTGAAATTCTTGATTACAAGGTAGAGGTTTCTTCTCATTCTCTTACATTGAGGCTAGAGTTTACTTTTATGTATTATTTTGACTCTAAATCTTATTTATTTGTTAGTAAATTATTCATTCTTGATATTCTTGCAAACACTATCATGTTTTAAACAAATCTATGGTGGGATAACCATGAAATATCTTTTCTTGACTCAAAAACTTAGTTTTCAAGATAAATGAGTTTTTTTCTTGATTTTTCCTTTATTCTTGATTTTGAAATTCTAGTGCTTTGTGTTGAGTAATAAAATGATGTTGTGATGATCTCTTGCTTATTTTCTAAAATTGTTCTCTTGTATTACAAATTGTGAGAATTGAGAATTTTGGAAATTATGAACTTTTGTTGAGAAATTGTTGGTGATTGTATCTCATGGAAGTGTTTGGATGACCATGGGTGGCCGTTGACCGGGTATCGAAGAGTGGGTAGATGTGGTGGTTCTTACTCCGGGCGGGTTTAAACTTTTCCTACCACTCGTAGAGGAGTTGGTGCCTTGCGAGGACCAAATCACTATTAGGTCACAGGTGCCGTGTCAGAGGATTAGTATACTATGCCTGGGTTGGATTCGTTATTGCTGGTGCATTGGTATGAGACAATACATTGGTAGGCGCCCTTCCTAAAGTTTGATATCCTTGCAGGGATTTGTGTGTGTGTGGGCCAGGATATTCTCTATGTGTTGATTCATGTGATAGCCATACATCATGCTTGAGATACATATACATACTGTTAGAAAGGATCCAAGTTGTGGATTATTGTTATTGCTTGGACTTGGTTTCCTACAAGAGCTTGTGGAGGTATGCGATTCTACAAGAACTTGTGAAAACGGATTATGGTTGGAAAGGGTTAATTGCTGGGAAATTTATTTTACTATTCATGTAATTATTGCTATTGGATGAACATGAGATATGTTTTAAATGTCCTTGTTTGTTCAAAAATTTATATATGATATTTGTGAAAGGCGACCGACTATTTTTATATGCTTTTATAAATCTTGTTCGAGTTTGAGAGGAATATTGCTACAGAGCTTAGTACTCACTCCCTAAAAATTATATTTTTCAGATTGTGGACTAGAGGAAGAACTCGGGATTGAGGAACCGACACATTTGGAAGCTCCACTAGATGGGTTCGTGGATCCCAAGGTGGATATCTAGAGCTATAGTTTATTTTTTTGCTAGACTTGGGAATTTATTTACGATCATGTATAGTCTAGTATTTTGTTTATTCCGCTGCTAAGTTTAAATGTAATTCTTTTAGAATGTATTTGCCATATCNGAAAGAAAAATCATATCCAAATATGAACCAACTCCCACCCTTCCTCTTGCTGGGAGTACCAGAAGGGTGTAACAAACGAAAAAGAAATGGTCTTGTTTAAAAAAAAAATTAAAACAATTAAATTGTTTTTTTGGTAAAAAAAAAAGAAATAATTTTATTGAATAAACTCCAAAATTACAAGAATAAAATAACCAGTAACTGTTACAACAGAAATCAGTTACAGTTGCACCAAAACAATCAAACTGTTACAATTACAACAGTTAAAACAATTCTTGTACAGTTGATGCACTCCAGGTCATCAGCATACCGGCACCCTCCTTCTGTACACCATACCTTGATGGAGCTTCTGATGCAGAAACATACTGCCAGTACTAGAATCCATAAACCAACACTCCAAAACCCCTCCATAGATCAACTCCTACCTGACTCAGTAGAGGATGTTAGCCCATAATAACCTCAGGGCAAAAGCACTTCCACAATCAAGACCTCTAACCAGCTGCTGAATCCACAGGAAAAAATTTGCTGGCCATTTAACAGAAATCTCCATGTTCTTATAGTAGGCCTGAGTTGTTTGTTGTTGCAAAAGCATTCTTGCAGCCAATGACAGAATACCATCAGCTAGAAAAACACCTTCAAAGAAACCAGACTTAACTGCCAAAGAAGGCAAAAAAATCAGCTACACCATTACCCTCCCTGTACACATGTCTACACTGAAATTGCAAATTACTAAGAAACTCCCCAATCTCATCCTGTAAACTCTCATATGTTTATATTAATATAATGATATAATTGTTTAGTAATTCCAATATATGTAATGATGTAAGATTGAACCACATAGATTATAATGGTAGAAATAACTATTGGGAGGCAAATTGATTGTGAAGTTTAAGTTGCGAATGTATTTAAGCTTGGAAGAGGTTGTTAGGTAAGTTCAAAATATTTTTAGGTCAAAATAAGATTTCCATTGAATCCGGAAGGTTGAGAAACCTTGGAAGAGGTAATATGGGGTATATTAGAAGTGAGGAAGTATTTCGGAGTTAAAGCACACTTTAGAGAGAATTTGGGTAAAAAGGGTTTTTGGACACTGTCTAATGTTTTGATCATACATTTTTATTTTGAATTCCATTTGATCTGAAATTTTGATGGTGGATGGTAGACTTCAAAAGCTACAAAAGTGTATTTTACGAAAATTTTCCAATTCGACCTCTAAATGGGCCAAAACTGCATTGGAAGTTGGAGCAAAAAATCTGTCAGTCAAACCGTACCGGTACGCCCAACTCCAGAGGCTAAATAGTACTGGTACTGAGTACTGGTACACTTTATTTAAAGCTTGCCGAACAGTAAAAAAATTAGGATTTTTATGTTTTAAAACACCATTCTAAGCCCCATTTGTCCCATTCTTTCATTCCACTCTCACCCCACACCTCTTAGAACCCTAGGAAAAGATAAAGAGAGAAAGAAAAGGGAGGAAGAAGGTCTTCAAAACTTGAGCTTTTGATTTGAAATTCTTGATTACAAGGTAGAGGTTTCTTCTCATTCTCTTACATTGAGGCTAGAGTTTACTTTTATGTATTATTTTGACTCTAAATCTTATTTATTTGTTAGTAAATTATTCATTCTTGATATTCTTGCAAACACTATCATGTTTTAAACAAATCTATGGTGGGATAACCATGAAATATCTTTTCTTGACTCAAAAACTTAGTTTTCAAGATAAATGAGTTTTTTTCTTGATTTTTCCTTTATTCTTGATTTTGAAATTCTAGTGCTTTGTGTTGAGTAATAAAATGATGTTGTGATGATCTCTTGCTTATTTTCTAAAATTGTTCTCTTGTATTACAAATTGTGAGAATTGGGAATTTTGGAAATTATGAACTTTTGTTGAGAAATTGTTGGTGATTGTATCTCATGGAAGTGTTTGGATGACCATGGGTGGCCGTTGACCGGGTATCGAAGAGTGGGTAGATGTGGTGGTTCTTACTCCGGGCGGGTTTAAACTTTTCCTACCACTCGTAGAGGAGTTGGTGCCTTGCGAGGACCAAATCACTATTAGGTCACAGGTGCCGTGTCAGAGGATTAGTATACTATGCCTGGGTTGGATTCGTTATTGCTGGTGCATTGGTATGAGACAATACATTGGTAGGCGCCCTTCCTAAAGTTTGATATCCTTGCAGGGATTTGTGTGTGTGTGGGCCAGGATATTCTCTATGTGTTGATTCATGTGATAGCCATACATCATGCTTGAGATACATATACATACTGTTAGAAAGGATCCAAGTTGTGGATTATTGTTATTGCTTGGACTTGGTTTCCTACAAGAGCTTGTGGAGGTATGCGATTCTACAAGAACTTGTGAAAACGGATTATGGTTGGAAAGGGTTTATTGCTGGGAAATTTATTTTACTATTCATGTAATTATTGCTATTGGATGAACATGAGATATGTTTTAAATGTCCTTGTTTGTTCAAAAATTTATATATGATATTTGTGAAAGGCGACCGACTATTTTTATATGCTTTTATAAATCTTGTTCGAGTTTGAGAGGAATATTGCTATAGAGCTTAGTACTCACTCCCTAAAAATTATATTTTTCAGATTGTGGACTAGAGGAAGAACTCGGGATTGAGGAACCGACACATTTGGAAGCTCCACTAGATGGGTTCGTGGATCCCAAGGTGGATATCTAGAGCTATAGTTTATTTTTTTGCTAGACTTGGGAATTTATTTACGATCATGTATAGTCTAGTATTTTGTTTATTCCGCTGCTAAGTTTAAATGTAATTCTTTTAGAATGTATTTGCCATATCTTGGCCTATTCTTTTGGGATGATATTGTGGATATTACATATGGTGAATGAAATTTTCTTTTGTTGGAAAGTTTATTAGTTGCTCTCATAATGTGAATAGTTTTTAGATTGTAATGCCGTCCAAAGGGGAATTGGGGCGTTACACATCCATAACTCCTTTCAATCTCCACAACACTTAAGCATCCCTTCACTTCTTCATATATTCTCCTACACATTTATTTCCAATGGGCCCAAAAAAATCAGCAAGGATACCCCAAAAAAAAAAATCTAAACATTAAATGAATCATAAGTNTCCATAAACCAACACTCCAAAACCCCTCCATAGATCAACTCCTACCTGACTCAGTAGAGGATGTTAGCCCATAATAACCTCAGGGCAAAAGCACTTCCACAATCAAGACCTCTAACCAGCTGCTGAATCCACAGGAAAAAATTTGCTGGCCATTTAACAGAAATCTCCATGTTCTTATAGTAGGCCTGAGTTGTTTGTTGTTGCAAAAGCATTCTTGCAGCCAATGACAGAATACCATCAGCTAGAAAAACACCTTCAAAGAAACCAGACTTAACTGCCAAAGAAGGCAAAAAAATCAGCTACACCATTACCCTCCCTGTACACATGTCTACACTGAAATTGCAAATTACTAAGAAACTCCCCAATCTCATCCTGTAAACTCCCATATGTTTATATTAATATAATGATATAATTGTTTAGTAATTCCAATATATGTAATGATGTAAGATTGAACCACATAGATTATAATGGTAGAAATAACTATTGGGAGGCAAATTGATTGTGAAGTTTAAGTTGCGAATGTATTTAAGCTTGGAAGAGGTTGTTAGGTAAGTTCAAAATATTTTTAGGTCAAAATAAGATTTCCATTGAATCCGGAAGGTTGAGAAACCTTGGAAGAGGTAATATGGGGTATATTAGAAGTGAGGAAGTATTTCGGAGTTAAAGCACACTTTAGAGAGAATTTGGGTAAAAAAGGGTTTTGGACACTGTCTAATGTTTTGATCATACATTTTTATTTTGAATTCCATTTGATCTGAAATTTTGATGGTGGATGGTAGACTTCAAAAGCTACAAAAGTGTATTTTACGAAAATTTTCCAATTCGACCTCTAAATGGGCCAAAACTGCATTGGAAGTTGGAGCAAAAAATCTGTCAGTCAAACCGTACCGGTACGCCCAACTCCAGAGGCTAAATAGTACTGGTACTGAGTACTGGTACACTTTATTTAAAGCTTGCCGAACAGTAAAAAAATTAGGATTTTTATGTTTTAAAACACCATTCTAAGCCCCATTTGTCCCATTCTTTCATTCCACTCTCACCCCACACCTCTTAGAACCCTAGGAAAAGATAAAGAGAGAAAGAAAAGGGAGGAAGAAGGTCTTCAAAACTTGAGCTTTTGATTTGAAATTCTTGATTACAAGGTAGAGGTTTCTTCTCATTCTCTTACATTGAGGCTAGAGTTTACTTTTATGTATTATTTTGACTCTAAATCTTATTTATTTGTTAGTAAATTATTCATTCTTGATATTCTTGCAAACACTATCATGTTTTAAACAAATCTATGGTGGGATAACCATGAAATATCTTTTCTTGACTCAAAAACTTAGTTTTCAAGATAAATGAGTTTTTTTCTTGATTTTTCCTTTATTCTTGATTTTGAAATTCTAGTGCTTTGTGTTGAGTAATAAAATGATGTTGTGATGATCTCTTGCTTATTTTCTAAAATTGTTCTCTTGTATTACAAATTGTGAGAATTGGGAATTTTGGAAATTATGAACTTTTGTTGAGAAATTGTTGGTGATTGTATCTCATGGAAGTGTTTGGATGACCATGGGTGGCCGTTGACCGGGTATCGAAGAGTGGGTAGATGTGGTGGTTCTTACTCCGGGCGGGTTTAAACTTTTCCTACCACTCGTAGAGGAGTTGGTGCCTTGCGAGGACCAAATCACTATTAGGTCACAGGTGCCGTGTCAGAGGATTAGTATACTATGCCTGGGTTGGATTCGTTATTGCTGGTGCATTGGTATGAGACAATACATTGGTAGGCGCCCTTCCTAAAGTTTGATATCCTTGCAGGGATTTGTGTGTGTGTGGGCCAGGATATTCTCTATGTGTTGATTCATGTGATAGCCATACATCATGCTTGAGATACATATACATACTGTTAGAAAGGATCCAAGTTGTGGATTATTGTTATTGCTTGGACTTGGTTTCCTACAAGAGCTTGTGGAGGTATGCGATTCTACAAGAACTTGTGAAAACGGATTATGGTTGGAAAGGGTTTATTGCTGGGAAATTTATTTTACTATTCATGTAATTATTGCTATTGGATGAACATGAGATATGTTTTAAATGTCCTTGTTTGTTCAAAAATTTATATATGATATTTGTGAAAGGCGACCGACTATTTTTATATGCTTTTATAAATCTTGTTCGAGTTTGAGAGGAATATTGCTATAGAGCTTAGTACTCACTCCCTAAAAATTATATTTTTCAGATTGTGGACTAGAGGAAGAACTCGGGATTGAGGAACCGACACATTTGGAAGCTCCACTAGATGGGTTCGTGGATCCCAAGGTGGATATCTAGAGCTATAGTTTATTTTTTTGCTAGACTTGGGAATTTATTTACGATCATGTATAGTCTAGTATTTTGTTTATTCCGCTGCTAAGTTTAAATGTAATTCTTTTAGAATGTATTTGCCATATCTTGGCCTATTCTTTTGGGATGATATTGTGGATATTACATATGGTGAATGAAATTTTCTTTTGTTGGAAAGTTTATTAGTTGCTCTCATAATGTGAATAGTTTTTAGATTGTAATGCCGTCCAAAGGGGAATTGGGGCGTTACACATCCATAACTCCTTTCAATCTCCACAACACTTAAGCATCCCTTCACTTCTTCATATATTCTCCTACACATTTATTTCCAAAGGGCCCAAAAAAATCAGCAAGGATACCCAAAAAAAAAAAATCTAAACATTAAATGAATCATAAGTATATGAGAAAGTGGAAAATGAAATGATGCCCAAAAACAATTGACAAATAATTTCTAGGAACCAACAAATTAGTCAGAATATGGGTCACAAAACCTACCAACAGCACTGTTCACAAAAATTCACTTTCCCTGCAACTTGGCTAAGAAACCATTAACGCGTTGTTTTGGAACACCACCATATCTTCCAAGTGTGATATTGTGACTTCCATAAGCTACCAGGTCAATATCTCGCCCAATGCCCAAATTGATTGGAGTTGAACCACTCACCAGATGCACCACCATTAGCACCTCCCCCCCAAGGACACCCTATTGCTGAGGCTACCTCTATATGACTGTCCCTCACTATTCATAACACTCGGGCAATGCGTAGAGCTATCGCCAGGACCACCGCAATTGTTAAAGCTTACATACATGGTAGTAGAACTATTCATCTTCCTCTTCATATTTCAAGTAATACAAATCTTTCGCAGATATACCCATGATCTCCTCACCAGATTCCTGGAATGCATTTACCCAGTTGAAGCCAGTGTGATCCTGTTTGTGGAATTGGAGATTATACCCATAATGACATTAATGATAGGTCTGTTCACACATATCACATCGCCACTTAAAAGCTCCATTATTTGTAACCTTCTTCTTGCACTTTTGATCTCCAATCATCCTCAGATCAAGCCTCCACTGTTGATGTACTTTACATGAAAATTTCATGATAATTACGAAGGTGGGTGAAAGCCTATATCTGTGCAGGTTTCAGGNATCCGGAAGGTTGAGAAACCTTGGAAGAGGTAATATGGGGTATATTAGAAGTGAGGAAGTATTTCGAAGTTAAAGCACACTTTAGAGAGAATTTGGGTAAAAAGGGTTTTGGACACTGTCTAATGTTTTGATCATACATTTTTATTTTGAATTCCATTTGATCTGAAATTTTGATGGTGGATGGTAGACTTCAAAAGCTACAAAAGTGTATTTTACGAAAATTTTCCAATTCGACCTCTAAATGGGGCAAAACTGCATTGGAAGTTGGAGCAAAAAATCTGTCAGTCAAACCGTACCGGTACGCCCAACTCCAGAGGCTAAATAGTACTGGTACTGAGTACTGGTACACTTTATTTAAAGCTTGCCGAACAGTAAAAAAATTAGGATTTTTATGTTTTAAAACACCATTCTAAGCCCCATTTGTCCCATTCTTTCATTCCACTCTCACCCCACACCTCTTAAAACCCTAGGAAAAGATAAAGAGAGAAAGAAAAGGGAGGAAGAAGGTCTTCAAAACTTGAGCTTTTGATTTGAAATTCTTGATTACAAGGTAGAGGTTTCTTCTCATTCTCTTACATTGAGGCTAGAGTTTACTTTTATGTATTATTTTGACTCTAAATCTTATTTATTTGTTAGTAAATTATTCATTCTTGATATTCTTGCAAACACTATCATGTTTTAAACAAATCTATGGTGGGATAACCATGAAATATCTTTTCTTGACTCAAAAACTTAGTTTTCAAGATAAATGAGTTTTTTTCTTGATTTTTCCTTTATTCTTGATTTTGAAATTCTAGTGCTTTGTGTTGAGTAATAAAATGATGTTGTGATGATCTCTTGCTTATTTTCTAAAATTGTTCTCTTGTATTACAAATTGTGAGAATTGAGAATTTTGGAAATTATGAACTTTTGTTGAGAAATTGTTGGTGATTGTATCTCATGGAAGTGTTTGGATGACCATGGGTGGCCGTTGACCGGGTATCGAAGAGTGGGTAGATGTGGTGGTTCTTACTCCGGGCGGGTTTAAACTTTTCCTACCACTCGTAGAGGAGTTGGTGCCTTGCGAGGACCAAATCACTATTAGGTCACAGGTGCCGTGTCAGAGGATTAGTATACTATGCCTGGGTTGGATTCGTTATTGCTGGTGCATTGGTATGGGACAATACATTGGTAGGCGCCCTTCCTGAAGTTTGATATCCTTGCAGGGATTTGTGTGTGTGTGGGCCAGGATATTCTCTATGTGTTGATTCATGTGATAGCCATACATCATGCTTGAGATACATATACATACTGTTAGAAAGGATCCAAGTTGTGGATTATTGTTATTGCTTGGACTTGGTTTCCTACAAGAGCTTGTGGAGGTATGCGATTCTACAAGAACTTGTGAAAACGGATTATGGTTGGAAAGGGTTTATTGCTGGGAAATTTATTTTACTATTCATGTAATTATTGCTATTGGATGAACATGAGATATGTTTTAAATGTCCTTGTTTGTTCAAAAATTTATATATGATATTTGTGAAAGGCGACCGACTATTTTTATATGCTTTTATAAATCTTGTTCGAGTTTGAGAGGAATATTGCTATAGAGCTTAGTACTCACTCCCTAAAAATTATATTTTTCAGATTGTGGACTAGAGGAAGAACTCGGGATTGAGGAACCGACACATTTGGAAGCTCCACTAGATGGGTTCGTGGATCCCAAGGTGGATATCTAGAGCTATAGTTTATTTTTTTGCTAGACTTGGGAATTTATTTACGATCATGTATAGTCTAGTATTTTGTTTATTCCGCTGCTAAGTTTAAATGTAATTCTTTTAGAATGTATTTGCCATATCTTGGCCTATTCTTTTGGGATGATATTGTGGATATTACATATGGTGAATGAAATTTTCTTTTGTTGGAAAGTTTATTAGTTGCTCTCATAATGTGAATAGTTTTTAGATTGTAATGCCGTCCAAAGGGGAATTGGGGCGTTACACATCCATAACTCCTTTCAATCTCCACAACACTTAAGCATCCCTTCACTTCTTCATATATTCTCCTACACATTTATTTCCAAAGGGCCCAAAAAAATCAGCAAGGATACCCAAAAAAAAAAAATCTAAACATTAAATGAATCATAAGTATATGAGAAAGTGGAAAATGAAATGATGCCCAAAAACAATTGACAAATAATTTCTAGGAACCAACAAATTAGTCAGAATATGGGTCACAAAACCTACCAACAGCACTGTTCACAAAAATTCACTTTCCCTGCAACTTGGCTAAGAAACCATTAACGCGTTGTTTTGGAACACCACCATATCTTCCAAGTGTGATATTGTGACTTCCATAAGCTACCAGGTCAATATCTCGCCCAATGCCCAAATTGATTGGAGTTGAACCACTCACCAGATGCACCACCATTAGCACCTCCCCCCCAAGGACACCCTATTGCTGAGGCTACCTCTATATGACTGTCCCTCACTATTCATAACACTCGGGCAATGCGTAGAGCTATCGCCAGGACCACCGCAATTGTTAAAGCTTACATACATGGTAGTAGAACTATTCATCTTCCTCTTCATATTTCAAGTAATACAAATCTTTCGCAGATATACCCATGATCTCCTCACCAGATTCCTGGAATGCATTTACCCAGTTGAAGCCAGTGTGATCCTGTTTGTGGAATTGGAGATTATACCCATAATGACATTAATGATAGGTCTGTTCACACATATCACATCGCCACTTAAAAGCTCCATTATTTGTAACCTTCTTCTTGCACTTTTGATCTCCAATCATCCTCAGATCAAGCCTCCACTGTTGATGTACTTTACATGAAAATTTCATGATAATTACGAAGGTGGGTGAAAGCCTATATCTGTGCAGGTTTCAGGGTCCCAGTGGAGATCATATACACTTTACCAAACTCAATCTGGTGGTAGAATTGGTCGGACACAGCATTAAAACAGCTTACCAAGCCAAAAAACATACATCAGCACCACTAAAACCCAGGGACATCAGACATGATTGCAGAAAGTAAAGCANTACACTTTACCAAACTCAATCTGGTGGTAGAATTGGTCGGACACAACATTAAAACAACTTACCAAGCCAAAAAACATACATCAGCACCACTAAAACCCAGGGACATCAAGCATGATTGCAGAAAGTAAAGCATGAGCTATTGAGCAAAATAAACAATCACATGCTTTCAGAACATGACGCATGCAGTTGCTATGCTGCAAGCATAACTAATGTTCCTATGAGCACGTTGTGAAACGGTTAAACATTTTTGCCAGTGCAACGACAAATCATCTGCAATTGATTTGTTTGTATGCAGCTGCCTATATACATATCCACCATAAGAACTTCTATTCAACATTTGAGTTGTGCAGAACTATATATACATCTATCTAATAAGGTAACTATAAAGCTAAACCAAAATAATGAATGTAAACAGTTGCTCCTCCACCATCTAATACAGGTGTCTTCCTCGAATCCAAATTTTACCAAAACACACGTCAAGGTGTGTGTAGTGCCATATGTATTATTCTATCTCTCAAATTTTTCTCCTCAGCGGTGACCAAGGTAATAACCACCTCCCTTCGCATATCAGCACTCTTATCCTGCATTTACCAAATGTGAACCATTAGAATTACAAATTTTTGGAAGTAGTTTTATTAAAGCACTTAAAAAGTGTTTGCACAGACTATTTATTGTTTTTCACCTTTACTATAAAACCTTGGCCCAAATGTACTGATTGCAACATCTTCACAACGAAAATTCCACAATCAAAACCATTGGCTTGTTTGGGCATCCAAGCTGGTTTAACGAGCTTCCATGTCCCCAATTTGTGTTCAAAATCCGGAGCCCTAGTGGCAAGAATGTCGTCCAATACATCAATCTACAAAACAAGGTTGCAATGTAATGCCTGGTGAAAAAAAAAATTGTGAACAGGTATCCGTTGGTAAATGAAAACAAGAAATATCTTACAACTCTCTTCGCATTTGTGAGGTGAATATTGTTTCTTTTTGGACTTGTTAGTGGATCGAGTAGGTTTGTTGCTCCTCTATATCCACCAAAAGTAGATACCAATGTGATTTGTCATCGTTCATTAGCACATAAATCTACATACAAACAAACAAGTATTCCTAAAACCAGGGACGTCATATGATATGCAGCATGTATTAACTTCAAAATAATTATAAATTGAATTTTTCAATATACACTACCTTTGTAGTTGTTGTAAAATTAGGGAGAGGGAGGCGACTAAACATCTGTTGTTTTTTAGTTGCCCTTCCACTCTGACTATGGGTGATGGTGCTTGCCATGGCTTTTTGCTGCATAAATGCATGGACACACACCAATTAATTTGTTTGTCATTAAATGTCCAAACTATTTGTATTTTCCCTTTTAATGCAACTTCCAATAGTACGAAATGAAAACATATACTTACAGAGAAGACGGTAGGTAAGTACCATCGTCCTGTCTATGGAGCGATGCATGCACACATATCAATGACCTAATTAATATTTGAC